CCAGCTGGGTGACCTTGGGCCAGTCACTTTCTCTCAGTCCTAGGAAGGAGGCAATGGCAAAACATTTTGAAAAACCTTGCCAAGAAAATTGCAGGGACCTGTCCAGGCAGTCTCCAAGAATTGGACAGAATTGAATAGATTAAAAAAAAGTTTAAATATGCCAGCATGTCTGAGATTTTGCAGTTGGAGGTACAAAAATTGTGTTTAATTTTAAGCTTACAAAATTTTATTATTCATTAGTATTTCTGAACTATTACTTCGCCATACTGTTGAGGGACATCAACATCCCATTAATGGCTTTATCAGCCTAGATTACAAAATAAGAATGCACACTATGTGTGTCAACATCCTTTCCTAATACTGAACCAGACTCACTATTCTTCATTCTGTAAACAAGGACTCTATCATATAAACTTCTCATGGTACCTTGGTTGCCAGCTTCTACATGTGTATGTATATATATGACTACATTTACGGTTTTAAAAAAAGTATGTAATCTTACAATGTTAAAATATACAACATAATTGACTAAATTACATATTGACTATTTTAAGGCTATAATATTAAGGGTTTTTGATCTTATTTTTCACTTTTGCTGGAATTACAGTAAATAACTTGTAAATTCTGAGCATAAAATGACTATAAATTTGACTATTTTGATTCATCAGAAGTTGTCTCTTGAGATTACAGGAATATATTGAATTACTTAAAAAAAATACAGTAAATAAAAACTATTTTCTATCCAGTTCTAAGTCTTGAGTAGGAGTTTCAGAATCATGTGCATTTTCCCCTCCACTGGAAAGCATCTGGCATAATATAGAATTTTGTCATTATTTCCTGTGTCCATGCAGAGAAAGGGATAAGTGGTCACAAGTTTACTTAACAGTAGAAAACAATTGCAATGTTTCACCTGAGACAGTTATGGCTATGTGATGTTCAACTACTGGTTTATTGGTTAGCTGATGACAAGATGGTTGAAATATGATGAAATTTATCCTGAGTGAACTATTGGTTTTCAGTGGCAAAACCCCTTGAATAGCAAATGTAATGCATTTGGGCAGATTAGGCAAAATTAACATCAATTTCAAATGAATTTACCAATATGTGTTTAGATTCAAATCCTTCTTGATGTTTTTCAACTAATATTTAATATAATTATATTAAGAAATTAATATAATTTCTTAACAGTCTTAACAGTAAAACAGTAAAAAGACTTTCTTGTGTTTTGCTAATAGCTGCTTTCAACAATTTTTGCTCATCATTGTAAGTTATTATGTAACGAAAATGACCTGAAACTTTCAAGAAAGCTTTTTAAAGAAAACAGACCAATTATAGTCAAAATTTTATTTGACATAATCAAATCAGCACAAATCAGCGTTTCCCACCAACACGAGGAGCAGAAACTTTCACAGGCTTCACAATTTTTTGTTTTGGTGCAGCCTTTGTTGGTGCCTGGAAATAGAAAACAAGACATTCATGAGGGCATGCTACATATTAAGTCAGCATAAACTAGCACAATGTGTACAGATTGATTTCTGGAGAGAGGAGTCCAGTCTGAATGAGAAAAAGCAAAGTGTCCCTAACTAATTTAAACCAAGTTTTCAATCTGGCCAGAAATGCTACACTATGATTCTTTGCAACCACTGGAATACTTAAAGAGATTGGATGTTGCAGCCTTTGACAAACAATTCTGTTATCATTCAATTACCATACCATATTTTAAGTTTATTGTAGCCCCTTCCTGGATTGGGGATCACAGATACTTTTTACTTTTTTCTCACAATGGTGTACTTAAAGCAGACCCCAACTGAGAAGCTGGATTACATTAGAGACAGAGAAACAATGTAGCGGCTACATAATAAATTTGGATACAAGAGACTTGAATTCAAGTTTCTATTAGATCACAGTGCTTATCCTTGTCTCTTAGCCTAATCTACCTTAGATAATTGTTTTGAGAATAAAATGAGCAAAGACCCTTATGTATTATAACATAAGATCACTTTGAGCAACCAGAGGAAAGGTGGGACATAAATGTAGCAAATAAAAAAACTGGATGTCCTTAGGCCAACCCTGTAGCCTCCCACTGAGTTGGTCAAAGTATAAACTATAATACAAATTGATAATGAGACTAGTATACAGGAACAATTTGATTTAAGAGCCACAGTTCTGTTTTGCTTTGTTTTCTAAATAGGAATCTACAAAGAATTACAGAACGTATCATCCTATTGCTTAGACAGCCTTTGACAGGCATTACCTTTGTTGCAGAGGGTACTGCTTTCTTAGTTGCCTGCTTAGCCTTCTTTGCTTCCTTGGCAGCTCTGTTAATTATATTGCAAAAAGATTAATGAGAAGAGCAAAACTGCTTTTATTATTTAACATCGAAAATGTATGAAGAAATATGCCTGGTGCATACCAGAATAGGTGGTCCATGGATGGGTGTGGGTATTTATATCTAACCATGGGTGGGTAGCCTCAGAACCCCATTTGTAGCCTTCAGATCCTCATCCTGGATAGATGGGCCAATGTTTTCGGAGACATTAGGCTCCCTTTAATCCTTTAGCCCATCCCCCAGACCGAGCCAATTTCCCTGTAATCCCTGCCCCAATTCTTTGACATCTTGACAATGCTACGCACATTCTGTGGCCCCAAGACACGGCACAAAGGCAAAGTGCAATCCCTAAACCCAAAAAGATTGTCTACCCTGGCATACGCCAAGAAGGGAAGTTCTGCAAAACTATTCAATTTAGTTGCAGGATCTCATGTGAGGCACTGCTTTTTCCTTAAAATGTTGTCCCATTCTAGGAAACAATAGCTTAAAAATACTGGCAATTGCTTAAAATGATGCTTCCCTTGCCCTGCATGACACCTGAAAGGGAAAATGTAGGGCAGATGAATTAGTTGCTGATTTGATGTTTTAAGTAATTCCCTGCTGGTAGTATCGTCAGGCGCTAGCTGTCAGAGCATCAAAGTATTCCTGATGTCTTAAAGCAGCTCCTTTCTGGAAAAGAGTTTTGGTTCATCTCCTTATCCCTGTGAGGGGCCGATCCAGCCATTGGTGAAGCTTGTTCCTTATCCCTGATTTTAGCATGTATCAAAATAAAGTGGTGAAAGGATCCAGACCATTCCAGACCACAAGTCACCAATTACATTTTTAATTTTCTCCTGCTTATATTTTTTTTCCAATCCAGGCAGACTTTTGGAAGTGGTTAGACTAGAATGAAGTTTAATTGTACTGCAATGATGCCTATTTTTTACATTCAGCCAAAGATGACAACTAGACCATAATTATATTTATGTAAGCAATAAAATGTACTGACCTAATGGCCTGTTCCCTTTGGGCTTTTCGCACTTCAGGTTTCTGATTTCTCTTGGCCATTATTTCAGCCAAAGAAGCACCTGTGATTGCTCTATGGCCCTTAACAGCACGGCGTGTACGTTTCTTTTGTACCTCTTCCTGAGCAAAGAAGAAATAAATGCTTCAAAACAGTATCCATATTGCAGAAGCTCAAAAATTTCTACACACACACACACACACTTTCATAAACAGCCAACATGACAAAT